GCTTTCCCTTCACCTTCATCCTGAAGATTCTCTTCACTTCTCTTCTATGATATATTTCATGCATTATGGACCTAATTAATTTCCTTTAGGATTACACTTTTATTTTGTGGAAACATATTTTTAGGAGCTTCCTGATAAAGTTACAAGAGGTAAAATGTTTAAGACCTTATATTAAAAATATGTCTTTATTATACTCCCATACTTAACTGGTTAGCTAGACCAGGTATAGAATTCTAAATTGAAAAATCATATTCCCTTAGGTTTTAAAAAATAGTTTCTGAAATTTTTGAAGACAATATTTATTTCACTCTCTTCTAGAATACAATATTGCTATTGAGAAGTCCAACTGTATCTTGATCCCCAATTATTCACTTAATCATTTGGTGATTTTTAGAATCATCTCTTTCCAGTGTCATGAAATTTCATAATAATGTGGATCTTGGTGTGAATATATTTTAATCTATTATGCTAGTGCTTATTGTTTTAAATATGAAAACTCATCCTTTACTTCTGAAAATTTTTCTTGATTTATTTCTTTGATTCCTTCCCTTTAGTTTAACTCTTCTATTGCTGGCACTCCTTTTATTCAGTTATAAGACTTCTTAGACTGATCCTCTAATTTCTCAACCTATATTTATTTATATTTTCATCTATACTGTTCTTCCTGAAACAGTTTTCAGCTTTATATTCTTTTTTAAAAAATTTGTTTAGTTTTGTTACAGATGTTTCTCTATTTTTCCTCCATTGACACCCTCCTCCCACTCCCCCACCCCTTACCCCCAGCATTATTGTTTATATCCCTGTTTACACATACATGCACAGAAGTTCTGTGGTTTATCTCTTCCCTCCCCCCACATTCACCTCTTCTGAGGTTTGCCAGTCTGTACCCCACTTCCATGTCTCTGGGTCTATTTTGTTCCTCAATTTGTTTTGTTCATTATATTACACAAATAAGTTAGATCATGTGATATTTGTCTTTCTTTGATTGGCTTGTTTCACTTAGGATAATACTCTCCAGGTCCTTGCATGTCATCTCAAAGGATAAGAGCTCTTTCTTTCTTTCTTTTTGTAAAATTTTATTTATTTATTTATTTATTTATTTATTTATTTATTTTTTAATTAATTAATTAATTTATTTTTGTTACAGATGTTTCTCCTTTTCCCCCCACTGATTCCCCCCTCTCCCTCCCTCCCTGCCCTGTCCCCAGCTTTGTTGTCCATGTCCATTGTTCATACATACATGCATATAAGTTCTGAGGTTTATCTGTTCCCCACCACCCCCACTTCTGGGGATTGTCAGTCTGTACTCCACGTCCACATCTCTGGGACTACCCCATTCCTCAGACTGTATGTTCATTATATTCCACAAATAAGTGAGACCATATGATACTTGTCTTTCTCTGTTTGGCTTGTTTCACTTAGGATGATACTTTCCAGGTCCCTCCATGTAGTCTCAAAGGATAAGAGATCTTTCTTTCTTACAGCTGCATAGTACTCCATTGTGTATATGTACCACTGCTTTTTTATCCATTCGTCTGCTGATGGTCACTTAGGCTGTTTCCAGATCTTAACTATTGTAAATAGTGCTGCTACAAACATGGGGGTACATATCTTCTTTCTGATTGGTGTTTCAGGCTTCTTAGGGTATATTCCTACAAGTGGGATCACTGGGTCAAATAGAAGTTCAATTTTTAATATTTTGAGGTAACACCATATTGTTTTCCATAGTGGCTGCACCAGTCTGCATTCCCACCAGCAGTGTACTAGAGTCCCCTTTTCTCCACACCCTCGCCAACACTTGTTGTTTGATGATGTGTTGATGGCGGCCATTCTGGTAGTTGTTTTAATTTGCATCTTAGTGACTTTGAGCATTTTTTCATGTCTCTTGGCCATTTGCATGTCCTATTGGGAGAGGTGTCTATTTAGATCCTCTGTTCACTTTTTAAATTAGGTTCTTTGTCTCCCTTTTGTTGAGTTGTATGAGTACTCCATACATTTTGGAAATTAGCCCCTTATTTGATGTACCGTTGGCAATTATAGTGAGTTCCCTTTTCATTTTTTTTTTTATCCTCACCAGAGGACATTTTTCAATATTTTGTTCAGATAGAGTGGGAGGGAGAGAGAGAGAGAGAGAAACATCGACGTGAAAGGGACACATCAAGTGGTTGCGACCCACACAACCCCAGGGCTGGGGACAAACTGCAATCGAGATATCTGCCCTTAGTGGGAACCAAACCCCAGTCTCTCCGGACGACAGGCCGACGCTCTAACCACTGAGCAAAAGCGGCCAGGGCTCCTTTTCATTTTGATGGTTGTTTCTTTTGCTGTGCAGAAACTTTTTAGTTTGATGTAGTCCCATGTGTTCATTTTTTCCTTTGTTTCTGTTGCTTTAGGTGTTGTATCAGTGAAAATTCTGCTGTGTGTGATGTCTGAAATTTTGTTGCCTGCATTTTCTTTTAGGATTTCTATGGATTCACGAGTCACATTTAAGTCTTTTATCTATCTTTAGTTTATTTTTGTTTGTGGTGTAAGTTGGTGGTCTAGCTTCATTTTTTTGCATGTAGCTGTCCAATATTCCCAATACCATTTATTGAAGAGGCTATCTTTACTTCACTGTATGCTCTTGCCACGTTTGTCAAATATTAATTGAGCATAATGATTTGGGTCAGTTTCTGGGTTCTCTGTTCTGTTCCATGGATCTATGTGCCTGTTCTTGTGCCAGTACCAGGCTGTTTTGATTACTATGGCTTTGTAGTTATCCATTATTGTGATCCCTCCTACTTTGTTCTTCTTTTTCAAAATTGCTGTAGCTGTTTGGGGTCTTCTTTGGTTTCATATGAACTTTTGAAGTATTTGTTCTAGTTCTGTGAAATATGTTGTTGATGTTTTGATGGGGATTACATTGAATCTACAGATGCTTTGGGTAGTATGGACATTTTAATGATGTTAATTCTTCCAATCCATGAACAAGGTTTGTGCTTCCACTTTTTTATATCTTCCTCTATTTCTTTTTCAGTTACCTGTAGTTTTCTGCGAACAGGTCCTTTATTTCTTTGGTTAAGTTTATTCCAAACTTAAGGTATCTTAATTTTTTTGCCACGATGGTAAATGGGATTGTTTTCTTTTTTTAGTTTCTCTTTCATGGAGTCATTGTTCGTGTATAAGAATACCCTCAATTTCTTGACGTTAATTTTGTATCCTGCTACTTTGCCAAATTCATTTATTAAATCTATTAGACTTTGGATGGGGTCTTTAGGGTTTTCTATGTACAGTATCATGTCTTGTTATCTGTAAATAATGACAGTTTCATTTTCTCCTTTCCAATTTGGATTCCTTTTATGTTTTCTTCACATCTAATTGCTATGGTTAAGACTTCCAGTACTATGTTAAAGAAGAGTGGTGAAAGTGATCTGCCTTGTTCCTGTTCTTAAGGCAAATGCTTTTAGTGTTTTCCCATTGAGTATGATGTTGGCTTTAGGTTTTTCCTATATGGTCTTTATTATGTCAAGATATAATCCCTCTGTTCCTTTCAGCTTTATTTTCTAAGCCTTCCTGGTGATTTCATTTCTGCTACATGATTTTTAATTTCTAAGAGCATTCTTTTATTCTCAGAATGTTCTTTCTGTACCATCTCATTGCTGTTTTATAGTTGCAATTTCTTCTCTTTCCTCTTTGGGGATACTAAGGATACAGATTTTTGATGTTTTCTTCTCCCTATGTAGTTTCTATCCGCTTCTAGTGGCTTTATTTGTGCTTGTTTTGCACTCTCTTTTATGCTTGAGGCTTTCCCTACTGTTTTTGTTATCAAGTGTTGCTAAAGAAATTATTTCAATATCTAGTGGCTTAAAACAACCATTTTAATGTACTCATGAATCAGTAGGCTAGGAATTCAGAAAGGTATTGGAAGTATGGCTCCACAATGCTCAGAGTCTCAACTGGGAAGACCTGAAAGTTGGGGTGACTTAACTCCTGGTGGCAGGAACCATTTTCAGACATGTCTGATGGTAGACGCTGGATATCAGCTGGGACCTCATCTGGAAATGTCAGTCAGATCACCTAAATATAGCTGCTCTATGATTCCTGGACTTCCTCACAACAGGAGGAATTGGATTCCTTACATAGTAGGTCATGCCTCCAAAGGCAGCTTAATCCCAGAGAACCAGGCAAAAGCCTTTTCTGATCTAGTCTCGGTAGTTGCCTAGTGTTAATTCTGCTATACTCTATTGGTCAACTAACCAGTCAGCCAAGATTCAAGGGGTGAGAGGGACAAATAACCTACTTCTTAGTGTCAAAGAATTTGAGGATATATGCTTAACCACCACATTCAGACATTTGATAATGCTTGGCTGTCTGTGAATATTTTTGACGGAATAAATAGCCAGTTGGACTAAAAGCTTGTTGGAAGCTTTGAGCACATAGGTAGGGTTTGGTGACAATGAGCACGACTGTAGAATGATATGGCTGGGCTATTTCACTGGGGAGACTTAGATCAGTATCAACCACGAAACCAACAATTCCTCTTTCTAATGTTCACTGAGCACTAACTATGGAGATAGCTAATAAAAACTTTTTCTCTATCATCTCATTTTACCTTCATAGCAGTTCTGTAAGGAAATGATTCATTTTGCAGATGAGATAACTGAGGCTTAAAGTGGCGAGAAAACATTGATCTTGGGGTCAACTCAGGTTGTCTTCAGAGCCTGCACCCTCAAGTGCTATGCCATGCTAGATCAAAGGGAGAGAGACACTCACGATGCCTTTAAGTAAGACCAGAACAGATACATTGGATAGTGTGCAAGGGCTGGAAAAGAGGATAAATCCTCAATGCCTGAAAATATAAGTGTAGATTTTCAAATGAGAAAAACAAACAAACAATCAAAACCAAGAGAAAAAATTCAAAGTCCCCAAAGCAGTTAAATCACAAAGATATCTCAGCTTCAACCCTTGTCTAGAGTGTTCTTTAGAAACCTACATTGATAATGAAGGAACGGGACACTTACAGAATGTTTGCTGGAAGTGCGACAAAGTTGGTGCTTCCGGCGCAACGTTATAAAAGTGAGTTTTTAGAGCTCCGCTCACCAGTAGATTATACGCCAGGTCAGTGATGTTGATGCCCACGATTGCAAAGGAGTACCTGCAAAGTGCAAACCGCAAGACCAACTGTATGTCACATGTGGGAAACAGATTTAAAAATATGATAATTTGATTTTTAAATTGTTATTAAATTATTAGAGTGGGCCGTGGCCAGTTTGGCTAAGCAGTTGAGCATCGGCCTGTGGAGCAGAGAATCCCGGGTCTGGTTCCTCCCAGGGGCACGTACCACAAAAAAAAAAAAAAAAAATTAGAGTGGCAGTTTTCCCTTCCCTCTCACCTTATCAAAACCCTGAATTTTGTAATTTACTAAAAAAAATTCAATAATGTATATCAAGAGAATTAAGAATTCATGCTTTGACGTGGTAATTCCATTTCCAAGTATATGAAAGAAAAAACAATTGACAAAGCTTCATAGGCAAGGATAGTTATTACAACACTATTTATAATGGCAAAGACATAGAAACTATTGAAATATCCTATAAAAGGTGATTGGTGAAATGAATTATGGTAATCTCATATAATATATTCAGCCAATAAAAACTACATTGCTAAAGACTAAGCAGAATATAAAACATTATATATTGAACAAGCTAAGCTTTATTATACACACACAAATGTGCACTGAAAGCAGGCTAGAATGAAATACCACAAAATATTAATATGGGTATGTTAGAGTATATAAGATTGGGATGATTTTTTTTGTTTACTGTCCTATATTTTCAAAATTATTTATAATAAAGCATATATTACTTAAAATTTTTTTTTTGTATTGATATTGGAGAGAGAGAGGAAGGGAGAAGAAGAGAAATAGAGGCATCAATGAGAGAGAACATTGATTGGCTGCCTCCTGCATGCCCACCACTGGGGATCAGGCCCACAACCTGGGCATGTACCCTGACCGGGAATTGAACTGGGACTTGCTGGTGCATGGGTTGATGCTCAACCACTAAGCCACACTGGCCGGGCATTACTTTTATTTATTTATTTATTAACAAAATTGTTTTTTTTATCCTCACCCGAGGACATTTTTTTGATATTTTGCTCAGATAGAGTGGGAGGGAGAGAGAGGAGAGAAACATCGACGTGAAAGGGACACATCGAGTGGTTGCCACCCACATGACCCAACCAGGGCTGGGGACAAACTGCAACCGAGGTACGTGCCCTTAGCAGGAACCAAACCCGGGTCTCTCTGGACTGCAGGCCGGCATTCTCACTGCTGAGCCAAACTGGCCAGGGCTGGGCATTACTTTTAAAATGAGAAAAATATAATTTTAATGCTCAGGGTATATTTTTTAGTCTTTTTTACATGTCTATCAAAAAATGAAACAGTTCTTAAATCCTGTCTGGCAATATATATCTAGTATATTTTTAAAAAAGCGTTTTTCTGTTCAAAATATTTTTAGATGAAATAGGCACTCTAAAAAAAAAGACTAAAGTACATTTTTATCTACTAACCTGATACTTGATAAAAATTTTTAAAAGAAAACTACCAAATACAATTCTAAATGATGGTTTCTGAAAATGATTTCCATATAGTTATAACTTTCTAAACCTTGCAGTTGGTGACAGGCAAAGTAGTATTATATAATCATACAAATAAAAATATATTCAAAGCATAAATGGTCCTTTTAAATTAGATTATATATTTCCTACAGGACAAGTAGATTTTCATCCTTATCATCTCAAATGCTTGGACATTTTTGTTCTGGTTCAGACCAATGACCTTTATTGTGAAATCCAACACTCACCCAATAGCTTTGTCCATCCTTTTCTGCTCCCATTCTGTTTTGCTGAATTTGCTGAATGAATGAATAAATCAATAAGATTTAAACTCTAATTGGTACTTGTTCCCTTTTAATGTTCATGTTAAAACTGTTGACTAGATGCAGAAATGTCTATAACTTCATTATCAAACACAAACCAATGAAAATGTCATCAATTAAAAAGTCACAATATAGCTTTATATGAAGCCCAGAAATGGAATTATTTGAAGCAATGCTACTTATTTCCTGTTCACTTCAGTTCAGCCGTGGGAGATAGCCCTAAAACCCAGACATTAAGATACTCTTTTTTATTATTAATTATCAAACAACGTTTCTTCCATGAAACCTCTCCTTTCACTAGGTGTCACCTCACTCTCTCATGATTCCCCTGGTTTGGTTTTATTTCATGGCATTTATCCTATTCAGCTTTGTTTGTGATGTCTGGCACAGATTAGATATCAAATAAATATTTATTGATAAATAAATGAGTTAGTGAAGGGAAAGGAGAAGGAAGTTAGGAAGAAGGAAGGAAAGAAGGAAGGGAAAGTTTTAAAAAATTCGTTTCAATAAGTTCTATGACATTTCCTCTTGTTAAGCTTAGACAGTTAAACTATAGCTGTTCCGCTTTTAATCTATCTTATAATTTGAGCTTCTGAATAAGACTTCTTGAAGAAAGGTTTCTATCACAGAAGCATTCTGAAAATACTGCCTTGCATTCTATTACTGTGAGTACTTGCACATCTCTCCCATCCTTACACCCTCTGCATCGATAACCATGCTGCACTCTTTGTCGTGGCCAAATACAGTGTTTTACACTAAAATATGTGGTTAGCATTTGAACTAAATAAAAAATTTAAACTAGAGTTATTATGAACATTTAGCTTCCAAGTAGAAGAGTATTTTCTATAGTACAATGCAAATACTACATTAAAAGACACACATGTAACATAAGCACAAGGCCATAAAAACACAATGCAAGGCTTATATTTAACATGTATTTTATACTCTGTAAATGACTATCTTAATACCAAGTAACTGTCTTTAATTCATGTTAAAATATGCCACCTCTTTTTAAAGTGTAACTGCCAACCAACAAACTAACCGACCAACCAGCCAAAGAGGCACCAGGACATTTTTATCTTAAAAGACTCATATTCAAATAAAAATGAGTGTGTGTGAAATTTAAGAAATTTTATATAAATGAATTTATAAGCATCTATTTTCTCTTCAATAAATCTTTGTAAATGCATAGCCTCTCTATATTTGTTAAATCTTTATCTGCAATGAAAATAAAAGAAAATGCCAAAACAACCTCCACTCATTTGATTACCTATAGTATATCCTGGCCCCAAAAGAATGAATCCTTCTCTTCAGGAACACTCACACATACCCATCCCACCCACCCACCTCACACAAACAAACAAACAAACAAACAAACAAACAAACAAACAAACAAAACCTAACAGTCAAAATCCTCCTTTAAACTTGAATCATTTATCCCTCAAGTTACTTCAGGATTCAATGGCTAGATGGTCCCATGAGCAATAATGAATAATGCTTGCTGAAGGATAGACAAACAGGAAAATTTTACTTAGTGTATATAGGCTTCTCCTTGCTGAACACATGAAACGTTTAGGGACTGACAGAACCTATGTTGATATCACAATCAGTAAATATATATTTTTTCAGACATCAGTGAAGGACAGTAACGTTTTCAAAACATTCTGATTTATAATCAGTGACATTTACCATCAATTTGAAGTGATCCATATTTGCATTCCATCTAGTCAATTTTATTGTAGCTTGAGGGACAATGCATGGTAGCTTTTTTTTATTATTTTTAAAATTTTATTATTATTATTATTATTACTTTTTTATCCTCACCCGAGGACATTTTTGCATTTTTTGTTCAGGTAGAGTAGGAAGGAGAGAGAGAGAGAGAGAGAGAGAGAGAGAGAGAAACATCGACGTGAAAGGTACACATCGAGTGGCTGCCACCCGCATGACCCAACCAGGGCCGGGGACAAACTGCAACCAAGGTACATGCCCTAACCGTTGAGCCAAACCAGCCAGGGCAATGCATGGTAGTTTTATCTACATGGCCTGCATGTGCATGCACGCACACAAACACACACACAAATGCTAGTGTTTTCTTAAATAAAAGTAATCACACAAACCCTCAAATACTTCCTCTTTGAGGCTGACGCAGGAGATAAAACTATAAAGCCTTTCTGTGAGAATGTCTGATAGACAAAATTAATCCCTCTTCAATGAGTAATCAAAAAGTATTTTAAGCTTATTGTTTCTTCCCAAGGACCATGGAGGATTCATGTCTTCTGGACAATATTCCTCCGAGAAATGCCACCTGACACTGCACAGACTCTGCAGTCAATTTTAATAAGAAGGGGTTCAGAGTCTCTGCATTACAGAAATATGCAATTCAGAAAATGTAGTTAAAAATTAACATAGCTCGCCCTGGCTAATTTGGCTCAGCAGTTAGAGCATTGGCCCATGGACCAGAGAGTCTGAGTTCAGTTCCCATTAAGGGCAAGTACCTTGGTTGCAGTTTGTCCCTGGCCCCGGGTGGGGTCATGTGGGTGGCAACCACTTGATATGTCTCTCTCACGTTGATGTTTCTCTCTCATTCTCTCTCTTCCTCCCTCTCTCCCTCCAGCTCTATCTGAAGATAAATGCAAAAATGTCTTCTGGTGAGGATAAAAAAATAAATAAATAACATAGCTCGATTTTAACCCTATAATAATATATCAAGAAAGAGCTAAGTGATTTCAGTGTTTTCCCAAAGTAAAGAAAATAATAATAATTTAATCTTATGAAAGATTATAAATATAAATTTGAGAAGTATAGTATAATTAAATAAACTTTAGCCAACAGAAGCTAAAATAAGTATAATAGTAAGGTGGGAGGGGAACCCCAAAGTCAATCTGCTTCTGAATTTTGAGAATGGTATGATGAAACTTAGGGCTTATTTAGAAAACACGAACACTGACAAGGAACTTGCCGTGCTGAGGAGAAAAAAGTGATACAAAACCAGAATTTCAAAATAGCAGAACTCCTTATAATAAGAATGATGAAAGCATATATAACTACTACATATAACAATGAAATTAGAAATAAATTAATAGAAGAGCAAATTTGCTCTGTGCAACAGAATTCTCAAATAAAATGTCCCTCTCTGGAAAGTAGACTGGGTCAGAGCATGTGTGGAGATATGGTCAGCCTTTAGGTAAAGTGTTCAAAATGTTTCTCCAACCAGGTATACCTGTGGTCGTAGAAAGGGTTTTTTGACATTTTCTATCAGGTTGGTCTAACCTAGTTTTTCTCTCCCTAAAACAGAGCCTAAACATAATAAACTATATTAAATTAAAAGATAGAAAATGCTTGCTTTTTGAAAAACTTTCATGAATTTATATTTCTTTAAAAATTATTGCCCCTACTTACTCTAAAAGAAAAGAAAAGCAACAAAACATGAAAGCAAAGAAAAAATACCTTATATCCTCTTTAGTGATATCCCTTCATGTAATCAGTTAAAGAAAAGAAGTTTAGAAAGGTAAATGCAAATAATTTAGAATCTAGAATTTTATTTTTTCAAAAAGCTCAGCAACTTCAGACTTTTCAGTTGGACCCTGACTTCATGACTTTTATCCTCCCCTCTATTTCCTCATCATGGACTTTTTGTTCCAGACTCTACCTTCTCCTTCTTCTATGCCCACCTCCTCAGTCTTCCTGGACACCAGTGATGTTATCAGTCCCTTTAAATATATATCTCAATCTAATGGTTCCATTTTACATATATACCTGAAGATTTTTTTTGTAAGTTAATCAATTTATTTCACAAAGAACAGCATTTTTCAGGCCTATGATTTCTATTTACTATCAACAAAAACAATCTGTACAGAAAACCCTAAGGCAGCCATACAGCATAATATGTAAGTGTGCAAATATATTTTAAACTGCAAGTCATTTCATAGTATTTGCAAGGCAGAACTTTATAGCAATTAAGGAATCTACCTCACACCAGCTAATTTAATAATCCTTTGCACGGAGAGTGAATGCAAATAAGTACCTGTAGTTTTAACTATCCTATTCAGAATTTGTCAGAAGGGCTTGTTTGAAAGAGCATTAAACCTTACTTCTGGTGGGTTGACTCCTGAGGATCTCATCAACAGATCCATGTAGGAGATGGAATTAACTTTACCTCATCCATAAAGCCTAATTCACCTTTTGTTTTCAATAATTACCTGCATTTTGGATGAAGAGAGTCAGAGAGGACCTGCTGAGCTGCTGTAGCATCTCTTTCTGCAAAATACCTGTTTGGGAGGAAAGGAAAAACTTTAACCCAATTTGAGGCCTTCTGAATCCAGAGATGGACACTAGCATGAGATTCTCACTTGTTTCCGAGAACAACTTTCCCTAGTAGAATTTTCTAAATGTAATGACAGTATAACAGGGTAGTTGTAAGACATATAGATTTAGGAAAGATTATAGTAGGTTTGAAAATGTAATTATGAACTTTGCCACTCTCCAGAGAGACCAAGATATCCTTATTAAGAAGCGTTATTGATGAGGGTGCAGAAAGATGCCACTCAGAAGGCAGAAAACCCTGGATGAAGGGACATGGTGAGGGACTGTGATAGCCAAAGGGCACAGAAAGTAGGAGACTAAAGGATACAGGATGCATTTCAAATGCATTTTTCTTTGGGAATATTCAGAGGTATTTGAATTCTGAATGAATAAAAAATATAGAGCTTAGAGATGTTAAAAATAAAATTTTGTTCTGGGGAAAAGAGAGAAGTCAAGTTTCCTAGAAAATAGAACTATAGCATGTTATTTAATCTGATGTGAATATATTTCCTGCATATATCTAAAGAATACAACAAGCTCTTAATTTTTTTCTCAGAAAATTTCAAACCAAAGTCAGCAAATTTAATACACATAACCATGATTATTAATAGAATTGAATCTCTTTTCATCTAGATTTCCTCTTTTATGCCTTGTCTTTATATTTCTTGGTCCAGTTTAGCTAAATATGGCTTCAAATAACCCAGTAGAGAAAAATACAATTCTGTATATGAATCCTTTATCATTTATGTGAACATCAGTCTTGGCTTGTCTTTTCACTTTATTTATGATAGCTATCTTATGGAAGTTTTCAATTTTAATATGTGAAATTTATTGATTTTCCTTTTATAGTTTATGCCATTGAGTTAAAGTAGAGATTTTATTTTATTTTTCTAAATGGAAGGCCAAATGTCCCAGTTCTATTTATTCAAAAGCTGATCTTTTACCTACTAATTTGTAACACCACCTTTGTCATCAAAATTTACTTTTTATTTACTTACATTACATAATAATGTAACATTTAAAATATTTCTTAAAAGGATGAATAATTATAAAACCTAAATTTAAAATGAAGGCAAAGATCTAGGGGGAACATGGGATACCATAAAAAATTACTGAGTAAGGCTTAACTTCTTTTATAATTTTTTTTAAATCCTCACCTGAGGATATTTTTACATTTATCTTTAGACAGAGTGGGAGGGAGGGAGAGAGAGAAACATTGATGTGAGAGAGACACATTGATTGGTTGCCACCCACACAACCCCAACCGGGGCCGGGGACAAACTGCAACCAAGGTACATGCCCTTGGCCAGAATCGAAACCAAGACTCTGATCTGCAAGCCAACGCTCTAACTGCTGAGCCAAACTGGCCAGGGCAGGGCTTAACTTCTTTTAAAAAATACATCACTATTGCCCTGGACAGATGGCTCAGTTGATTGGAGCATCGTCCTGTACACCAAAAGGTTGAGGATTCGATCTCTGGTCAGGGCATATACCCAGGTAGCAGGATCTCTGGTTGGGGAGCATATGGGAGGCAACCGATTGAGATGAAGGTTAAAAAAAAATTACTATTCTCAAAGGACTTCCTTTGGCTTGAAAAATAATGACCACAAGTGACTCAATTTAAGCATAAAACAATGAGTGAAATTATTATAAAATATCACAATAAACATATAAAAACCAGGATTAATATTTAAAACATAGAGAGATAAAGCCAAAAAATTTTTTTTGATCAATAACAGAAAAACTAGGACACCAAGTCCTCATGCTAAAAATTGGCAACTTATTTAGTGAGCATCTATCCTGCCTATATTCGAGAGAAACCCAAGAACCACAGTGGATAAAGGAAACTGAATCTCCACAGAATTCCAGCCAATAACTGTGGGAATAATAGAGTTGGAAAAACAGTTTTTGCATCATTAATTAATTGGTTTAGTGAAGACCACTGAAGGAGAAAATGGTTAGAAAAGAGCTGCTGGGGCTTTTCAATGCGGCCACCAGACTGTGATCCCTCTGATCCAGCTCAGCCTAGAAAGGAAAGTGGGTGGGTGCAACCACAGGCCTCCCACCTCCATGTCAACCTGAACCCCTTCAAGCCTTTCTGAATACCTGTGAGTTTCAGGACATTCAAGGGATGGGTATAAATGCAAACAGACACATCTAGACCTGAGGATATTTTACAGGACAAGTCTGTTAACAGCAAGGCAGAGGGGGCAAAGGTCAAGGGCAGAGGGAAAGAAATTGCTCAAATTAAAAAAGATCCGAAGACGTAATAAGTAAGTGCAGTGTGGAGATTTTGTATAAAATCGGATTAGAACAAACCAGCTATAAAAAGAGATTTTTACAGACTGGCCATTGCCCAAGGGGAGCGGGGAGTGGGTGACCAGATAAAGAAGGTGAAGGAAATAGTTAAAGAACATATATGTAGATTAGCAGCCCAATCAGAGTCCAGATATACCACCAGCAACAGAGGCTGGGGAGCAGACATCTATCCCCAGGCAACAGAAGCACAGACCAGCTGCTGAGACCCATCCCCAAAAACGATAGCAAAAGCTGAGCAGAAGTTGAGCCCCACGGGGCAGCAGCACTACACAGTCACCAGCGGTAGGACCTGGAGCTCCATAGAGGCCTGTGCGGTCCAGTAGCCCACAAGTGCACTGGAAAGCCAGAGCCCTAGAGAGACTGGTGCCATCCAGCTGCCTGCCCGTGTGTGGACGTGGGGGCACCAGAGAGGCCTGTGCGACCCAGCAGGGACTGTGAGATCTAGTTACCCATGGGACTGAAGCACCCAGAAGGTACTGTGCAATCTAGTTACCACCAGGACCTGCAGAATGCTGAAGCACCAGAGAGGCCTGTGCAGCCCAGCAGGGACTGTGCCATTCAGTTACCTGCGGGACCTACAGGGTGCTGAAGCATCAGAGAGGCCTGTGAGACCCAGAAGCCCATAACATAGGCATAAAGTCTGGTCCCCAGGGGGACTGTGCAATCCAGTTACGCGTGGACCTGCAGGGTGTGGGGGCACCAGAAAGGCCTCTGCTACCCAGCTGCGCACTAGATAGGCTTCGGAGGATGTGAAAAATGGACGCAAAGTGAATAGAAGCTATGCAGATCTCCCAGTACCAAACGAGAAATACAACTAAAATAAAGACAAATCCTCATTAAAAAGCAACAGAAAAGCAGCATATAGGACCATATAGCCAGGAACACTGGTAGGATCTGTGGAAGCAAAGAAAGGTGGCAGGCTGAAAACCCACGGACATCAGCAGTCTTAGCTGTGAGCAGTGCCCTTGAGGAATAAAGACCAATCCCACTCCACAGCACAGAGAGCCTAGACAGAGCACTAAAATAGCCACAGCCACTAATATGGGGGTTACGACAGAGGAAGGGCAGACTGGACTGAAACTCTGTGAGAACACCCGGGATTTGAAGGGAACTCAGAGTTTTTGCTGAGTGTGGCCACAAAGGATGGTGGCCAGTGTGCTCCATCCCTGAGCTGTGGGAAAAAGCAGCAGCCAACCATAGGAGATTCAGCCTTTCCCAGATGAGGCAAGGAAATGCAAATTGAGTCTCATTAACAACCAGCATCTATCCAACCTTCTGGAAATCCTCTTATGCAGAACACCAGGGCTACATTCCAAGGCACTGAGTAACTGAGACTATTGGCCACCAGGAAAAAGCTAAAGGATAACTGAACCTTTCCTGGGTTTGCAAATCTACCGAGAAAAGTAAGACTTGACAGTGGTGTGTAACGTGGGCCCACCCAGGCTCATTCAAACCTAGTAGAGGGAGCCACAAACAGAAAAACACCAAAACCCACAGAAAAAAAATTTGGCAAGCCCCAAAACACACTGAGATAGCCAAAATGGTGAAACAAAGAAAGAAATCCCAAATGAAACAACAAGAGAACTCTATCGAAGATGAGATCAATGAAATGCAGCTAAGCAAATTATCAGAGGTAGAGTTCAGAGCCATGATCTTGAGAAAGCTCAACAGCATGAGTAAGGACATCAGCACCATGAGTAAAGATATAGAAACACTAAAAACCAATGAAGTGGAAATGAAGAATGACACAGCAGAAATTCAGAATACATTGGAAGGACTAACCAGCAGAGAAGAGAAAGCTGAGGACAGGATCAGTGAATTAGAAGACAGGGTAAAAAAAAATCAACCAATCAGAAAACTAAAAGGAAAAAATAAAAAGATAGCTTAAGAGAACTATGGGACAATTGGAAATGTAATAACATTCGCATCATAGTAGTCCACAAAGAGGAAGAAGATAGGCAAGGGTTAGAGAATATATTTGAAGAAACAGTGACAGGAAACTTTCCTAACTTGGTGAAGGAAGAGGCATTCAAGTTCAAAAAGGACAGAGAGCCCCAAGTAAGAAGAACCCAAACAGGCCCACACCAAGACACATAGTAATTAAAATGCCAAAAATTAAAAACAAAGGGAATCGTAGAGGCAGCAAGAGATAAGCAACAGGTTACCTACACAGAAAACCCCATAAGGCTCTCAGCTGACTTCTCAACAGAAACACTACAGTAAAGAAGGGAATAGCATGAAGTAATCAAGGTCAGGAAAAACAAGAATCTGAATCCAAGACTACTCTATCCAGCAAGGCTATCACTCAAAATAAAAGGTCAAATAAAGAACATCACAGACAAAAAAAAAAAAGGCTAAGGGAATATATTAACACAAAACGAGCACTGCAAGATATACTAAAAAGACTACTGTAATTAGTAGAAGAAATAGGAAGAAAAATATAACCACACTAAACACAAATGGCAATAAATAAGTACATATCAATTATCACCTTAAACGTGAATGGTTTGAATGCTCTGACAAAAAGACGCAGAGTAGCTGACTGGATAAGAAAGCATGACTCACATATATGTTGTTTACAAGAGACCCACCTTACAACAAAAGACTCACATTGGTTGAAAGTGAAGGAATGGGCCCTGGCCAGTTTGGCTCAGCGGTTGGAGCGTCGGCCTGCGGCACAGAGAGACCCGGGTTCGGCTCCCGCTAAGGGCACATTCCTCGGTTGCAGATTGTCCCCGGCCCTGGTTGGTCGTGTGGGTGGCAGCCACTCGATGTGTCCTTTCACATCGATGTTTCTCTCTCTCGCTCTCCCTCTCTCTCCCTCCCACTCTATCTGAACAAAAAATGGAAAAATGTCCTCAGGTGAGGATAAAAAAAAAAAAAGAAAGTGAAGGAATGGGAAAAAATCTTTCAAGCAAACAAAAAGCAAAAAAAAAAAAAAAAAAAAAAAAGGTGAGGTAGCAATACTCATATCTGATAAAGTAGATTTCAAAATGAAGGCCATAACTACAGACAAAGAAGGCCACTACATAATATTTAAAAGAATCTATCCAACAGGAAAATATAACTTTGGTAAACATATATGCACCCAATTTAGGAGCACCAACATATATTAAAAATCTTCTGGAGGAGGTCAAAGGACAAATCAACAGCAATACAATCATAGCAGGGGACTTCAATACCCCACTCACATCACTGGATAGATCTTCTAGACAAAAAATTAACAAGGAAACAGAGACTCTAAATGAAGCACTAGATCAAATGGATTTCATAGATATCTACAGATAATTACACCCAAAAACTACAGCATTGACATTCTTCTAAAGTGCACATGGGACATTCTCAAAGATAGACCACATGTTAGGACACAAACTAAGTCTCTACAAGTTCAAGAAGATTGAAATCATATCAGGCATCTTCTCAGATCACAATGGCATGCAACTAAAAATCAATTGCAACAAAAACATGCAAAGACATTTGAGAACATGGAGGCTAATAGCATGTTGTTGAACAATGAATGGGTGACCATGGAGGTCAAAGAAGAAATTTAAAAATTCCTGGAAACCAATGAAAATGAACACATAACACCACAAAATCAATGGGATGCAGTGAAAGCAGTTCTGAGAGAGAAGTTCATAGCACTACAAGCCTACCTCAAGAAGCAAGAAAAATATCTAATAGAATATCTAACCTCACAACTTAAAGAACTAGAAAGCAAACAGAAAGAAAACTCCAGAGCAAGTAGAAGGAAGGAAATAGTAAAGATCAGAGCAGAAATAAATCACATAGAGTCCAAAAACAATTCAAAGGATCAATGTAACAAAGAGCTGGTTCTTTGACACGATAAACAAGATTGGTGGACCGTTAGCTAGATTCACCAAGAAACAAAGAGAGGGAAACCAAATACACAAAATCAGAAATGAAAGAGGAGAAATAATAACTGACACCACAGAAATACAAAGGATTAACAAATATTATGAAAAATTATACGGCAACAAATTTGACAAGCTAAGCGAAATGGACAAATTTCAGGAAACATATAGTCTCCCAAAACTGAACCAGAAAGAGATAGAAAACTTGAACAGCCCAATAACAACAAAAGAAATAGAAGATGTAATCAAGTCTCTCCCAGCAAACAAAAGCCCAGGCCTGGACTGCTTCACGGGGGAAATTTTACCGAATATTCAAAGAACTATACTCATTCTCCTTGAACTATTTCAAAAAATTCAAGAAGGAAGACTTCCAAACTCTTTTTATGAGGCCAGCATAATTCGAATTGCAAAACCAGAAAAAGACACTACAAAGAAGAAAACTACAGGCCAATATCCCTGATGAACATAGATGCCAAAATCCTGAACAAAATTCTAGCAAATCGAATTCAGCAATACATCAAAAATATTATTCACTATGACCAAGTGGGATTCATCCCAGGGATGCAAGGCTGGTACAATATTCCCAATTCAATAAATGTGATAAACCTCATAAACAAAATGAAAAATAAAAATCATATGATCATATCAATCGATGCTGAAAAAGCATTCAACATAATCCAGCACCCATTTCTGATAAAAAAATGTTCAGCAATCTGAGAATAGAGGGATCATATATTGACATAATAAAGGCCATATATAAAAGACCTACAGCCAACATCATATTCAATAGGCAAGAACTAAAAGTATTTCTCTTAAGAACAGGAACAAGACAAGGATGCCTACTTTCGATATCTTATTTAACATAATACTGGAAGTCTTAGCCACAGCAATCAGACAGGAAGAAAAAATAAAAGGGATCCGAATGGAAAAGGAGGAAGTGAAACTGTCATTATTTGCAGATGTCATGATACTATACGTAGAAAACCCCAAATTCTCCATCAAAAATTTACTAGACTTAATAAATGAAGTTGGCAAAGTAGCATGATACAAAATTAATGTCAAGAAATTGGCGGCATTCTTATACACAAATGATGAACTCACAAAAAGAGAAACTAAAAAAACAATCCCATTTACCATCATGGCAAACAAATTAAGATACCTAGGAATAAAATTAACCAAAAAAATAAAGGACGTATTCACAGAAAACTACAGGTCATTTAAAAAAGAAATAGAGGAAGATATAAAAAAGTGGACGCACGTAACTTGTTCATGGATTGGAAGTATTAACATCATTAAAATGTCTATATTACCCAAAGCAATCAATAGATTCAATGTAACCCCCATCAAAATACCAATGACATACTTCACAGAAGACTAGAACCCAATTAAAAAATGGACCGAAGAACTAAATAGATACCTCTCCAAATGGAACATACAAGTGGCTAAGAGACATATGAAGAAATGGTCAACATCTCTAATCATTAGAGAGGTGCAAATTAAAAAAACAATGAGGTATCACCTCACACCTATCATAATGGCCACCATCAATAATTCATCAAACAACAAGTTTTGGCGAGGGTGTGTTGAAAGGGGCTCTAGTATACTGCTGGTGGGAATGCAGACTGGTGCAGCCACTATGGAAAACAATATGGTGTTACCTCAAAAAATTAAAAATTGAACTTCCATTTGACCCAGTGTGTGGGAGACTTTTTGCATGGCATCCATTTTGTTAAAATCTGCTCTGCCATCTCCTGCCCCAAGGCAGGATATCTCTGTATACAATGTTTCTGCATTCCTTTAAGTAACCATTTACTCGCTTGGCAACAAATGTTCTTGTTTTTCTGCTTCTTGCCCTATATATAGTGTGGATTTCCCCAGAATAAACGAGACTTGATCAGAACCCTGTCTTGTCTCCATTTCTTGTGTCTCTTGTCCCTCCTCATCCTCACTCCCCCTCTAGAGTTCTCGTTGCTCGACCTGCGGGACAGGTCACCAGTGATCCCACTTCTACGAATATACCCTGAGAAGTCTGAAACACCATTCAGAAAGAATATATGTACCCCCATGTTCATAGCAGCACTATTTACAATAGCTAAGATCTGGAAACAGCCCAAATGTCCATCAGTAGACGAATGAATAAATAAGCTGTGGTACATAGACACAGTGGAGTACTATGCAGCTGTAAGAAAGAAATATCTCTTATCCTTAGAGACGACATGGAGGGACCTGGAAAGTATTATCCTAAGTGAAACAAGCCAAACAGAGAAAGACAAGTATCATATGATGTCACTTATTTGTGGAATATAATGAACATAACAGTCTGAGGAACTGGGTAGTCCTAGAGACGTGGAAGTGGGGTACAGACTGACAATCCCAGAAGAGGGGGTCGGTGGGGGGAGATAAACCACAGAACTTATATATATGCATGTATGCATGAACAGTGGACATGGACAACAAAGCTGGGGATAGGGCTGGGAAGGAGGGGGAGGCACGAATCAGTGGGGGGGAAAGGAGAAACATCTGTAACAAAAATAAATAAATTAATTAAAATATATATATATATATGTGTACCCCAAGGACATGAATAACAATTTGGTAAAGGCCAAGTGAGAGGGAGGTGGGGGAAGATGGCAGTGGGCAAAGGCAGGGAAAGGGGGATTCCTGCAATAATGTCAACATGAAAAATATTTTGAATAAAAAAAAAAGAGAAACATTCTTTAAAGATGTAATTCAGCCAGTTGGAAAATAAAGTGCAATTTAACCTCCCCCTGCCACACACACAAATTTTTGATAGAACTCAGAAATTTGAATATGGACTGAACATAGAAGACACCAAGGAAACTGTTAATTTTGTTAGGTGTGATAATGGCATTTGGGTATGATAAGTACCCAAGTAAGGTAATATTGATATTTTTTAGAGCTTAAGGGTGAAATGAAGAACAGTATAAGATTTTTATTAACACGCATTTGTCCTCAAAAGCAAACATGACAAGTATTTCAAAACTTGATAATTATTGAATCTGGGTGATTAGTATAAAGGGAGTTCTTGCCAATCTTCTCTCTGTTTTTGTATATACTAAACATTTTTTATAATACAAATTTAAAATAAATAAATTTGAGATTTGCTTAAAAGAATCCATGAAGTTTGTCACATGAAAGTGTGATGGTAGCAGCTTTTCAAATGTCGTGAACCTGAATTACTTTGCCGAGATCTGGAGTTTTCTTGGAGCCTCCTTGGAAGTGGCTTTTGGAACTAATAACTCAATTTTGTCCATTCAGTATGAGGAAATCAGAACATCCCTTAAATACCCATTCTTCATTTACTTACTGCAAATTGTACAGTCCCAGGAGTCCCATTCCTCGAAAATCTGTTTTAGGATCATCACCTTGGAAACCAATTTCACACCATTGCTTAGAAATCCGAGATGCCAGCGGAGTGTTAGGCTTCAAAAATTTCCATAACTGGAGACAAGAAAGAAAATGAACCCGTGAACATACACATATATTCTTTCCTGCTGGTTCAGAGTTTTTAACTCACATCAAGAGGAACATGGCAAAAGCTGAATACATGCAAATATATTACAATGAAAGATTTGACCATTTTTCAATGATCTATGATGGCAGTTCTAAAAGTATTGTCTGAACACTCCTGGAGGAACTCTGTGACATTTTCAGAAGGTCTAAGGAGGTAAAAACTAATTCATAATAAAACTAATAGGTTATTTGCTTTTTCATTCTCATTTTCTCATGACCTGTGATGATGTCACCCATCTGAAAGCAATGGAATGGGTACTTTCATATTTTAATGTTTTAAAATATTTTCTGTTTTTAATTTCTAATCAGATATATATCTCCCAGAAAAGCTGTTTGGTGTCCTCCAAACATATATAAGAGAATAAAGGGAAGGCGAGAACAAGGAATCTTTGAGGCCATGCATTATTCATATCCTCAGAAAATGCTTATCATACTTTATAGCAAAACTTTTAATAGCATTATTAACAAAAAGAAAAATAGACAGACTTGGTTTTATTTCTTAGGGCTCACCTATAATGAGGTGAGAGTAAACATAGCTAAATAAAGGAAGGTCAGTAATGTTCATGAATAAACCTCAAAATACATTATGTTTAAATGTTACCTAAAAATGTTTCAATTATAATCAATTTTTTATTAATGAACAAATATAAATTCTAAGCACCATGTTCTTCACCGCTTAAAAAACTGGTTCTATTTTTCTAAGTTCTCTAGAAATGTAAGTTTAACTCATCATTACTTGAGAGAGAATGTGAGACACTCACAGCTATAGAAGTATGTAATGCTCTATTAGTTCTTTCTAAGAAATAGAGATGGGCATGTAAACAAATTTCCTTGTAACAATATTAATAACATTTTATATTTTTATTATAGAGACAAATACAAATGTAAAATTTCCTCATTACTATTTCGACATAGTGAAAATTCTAACTTGCTTATTCTTTGTTATATAGATTTTAAAGTTTAAGTACAACAGGAATACACAAACGCCTTGCTTTATAGTGAACTGTCACATATCTGACACAGTATAAAACAATGTTCAACCACAGGAAATACTAACAAAAAAGAGTTGTAATTCATCAAAATTATTTTAGGCACTTATCCAAAATGATGTGTTATCAAATCATACAATATTGTATCTTAGTGGCACAACCGTTAAATTCAATCTAAAGAGGTGAAGAAACTTTTCAGAGGAAAGAAAGTAAATATATCAAACTTGAAAGCAAAACATGAAACATGGGTATCAGAATCCATATAAGAATTTGCCAATGCTCTGCATTCATCAAAACAGAAAGTGTTTCTTAGTTCATCAGAAGAGTACTAAAAAATGAGAGAAATGGTCTCTTTTAAAAATTGCTTTAGGAACAGATTTAGTTACTGCCACAATGTAAAAATAAATAAAAACAAAAGGAAATATTATAAAGCTCATCACAGTCTTGTGGACAGTAATTTGAACTAATCTCAGGGCCCCACACAGTTTAAATACATCTGGTTTCATCAAGTGTGTGAAATAGAACAGCAAAAGCAGGCATTTTATTTCTACAGGTGAGTTATGGTTTAAAAAGATTTAATTTTAATAATTTCATGTATTAAGAAAGACTAGGGAAGAGGGTGTCAATGGGGGTAAAAAGGGATGACATCTGTAATACTTTCAACAATAAAGATTAAAAAAAAAAACAGACTAGATTAATGGCTAAAAAGTGTTATTTTTGTTGTTGTTGTTGTTGTTGTTAATCCTCACCTAAGAATATTTTTTCCATTGATTTTTAGAGAGAGTGGACTGGAGGTGAGGAGGGTGAGAGACAGAGAGAGGGAGAAACATTGATGTGAGAGACACATCAATTAGTTGCCTCTTCTAGGAATGGAACCTGCAACCCAGGTGATGCCTTTGACTGGAAATTGAACACAGCACCCTTCGGTGCATGGGCCGGGGCTCTAAGCACTGAGAAGACAGACCACGGCAAAAAAAAAAAAGTGTTCTTTTTAAAAATATTTATTTATTTTTGTTACAGATGTTTCTCCCATTCCGCCACTGATTCCCATTTACCCTTGCCTATCCGCCCTGTCCCCAGCTTTTTTGTCGATGTCCATTGTTCATGCATACATGCATATAAGTTCTGTGGTTTATCTCTCCCTCCCCCTCTTCTGGAGATTGTCAGTTTGTACCCCACTTCCACGTCTCTAGGACTACCCAATTCCTCAGACTGTTATGTTCATTATATTCCACAAATAAGTGAGATCATATGATACTTGTCTTTCTCTGTTTGGTTTGTTTTGCTTAGGATAATATTTTCCAGGTCCCTCCATATCATCTCAAAGGATTAGAGATATTTCTTTCTTACAGCTGCATAGTACTCCACTGTGTCTATGTACCATAGCTTTTTTATCCATTCGTCTACTGACAGACATTAGGGCTGTTTCCAGATCTTAACTATTGTAAATAGTGCTGCTACAAAGATGGGGGTACATATATTCTTTCTGATTGGTGTTTCAGGATTCTTAGGGTAAAATCATAGAAGTGGGATCACTGGGTCAAATGGAAGTTCAATTTTTAATTTTTTGAGGTAACACTATATTGTTTTCCATAGTGGTTGCACCAGTCGGCTTTTCTACCAGCAGTGTACTAGAGTCCCATTTTCTCCACACTCTCAACAACACTTGTTGTTTGATGATTTTTTGATGACGGCCATTCTGACAGGTGTGAGTGAGGTGATACCTCAGTGTTGTTTTAATTTGCATCTTTCTGATGATTCGTGATATTGAGCATTTCTTCATATGTCTCTTAGCCATTTGTATGTCCTGTTTGGAGAGGTGTCCCTCTGCCCATTTTTAAATTGGGTTCTTTGTCTTCCTTTTGTTGAGTTGTATGAGCACTCTCTATATATTGGAAATTAACCCCTCATCTGATGTATCATTGGCAATGATGCTCTCCCATAGAGTGGGTGGCCTATCCACATTGGTGGTTGTTTCTTTTCTGTGCAGAAACTTCTGAGTTCGATGTAGTCCCATGCGTTCATTTTCTCCTTTGTTTCTGTTGTCTTAGGTGATGTATCAGTGAAAATTCTGCTGCATGAAATTTTGTTGCCTACATTTTCTTCTAAGATTTTTATGGATTCATGAGTCATATTTAAGTCTTTTATCCATTTTGAGTTTATTCTTGTGTATGATATAAATTGATGGTCTAGTTTCATTTTTTTGCATGAGCTGTCTCTAATTTTCCCAACACCATTTATTAAAGAAGCTATCTTTACTCCACTGTATGCTCTTGCTACCTTTGACAAATATTAATTGAGTATATTGTCTGGGGTCTATTTCTGGGTTCTCTATTCTTTTCCATTGATCTATCTGCCTGTTCTTGTGCCAGTACCAGGCTGTTTTGATTACAGTGGCTTTATACTATAACCTGAAATCTGGTAATGTGATCCCTCCAACTTTGTTCTTCTTTTTCAAGATTGTTGTGGTTATTCGAGGTTTTTTTTGGTTCCATATGACCTTTTGAAGTATTTGTTCTAGTTCTATGAAGTATGTCGTTGGTATTTTGATGGGGATTTCATTGAATCTATTAATTGCTTTGGGTAATATGGACATTTTATATGATGTTAATTCTTCCGATCCATGAACAAGGTATGTGCTTCCACTTTTTTATATCTTCCTCTATTTCTTTTTTCAATTGACCTCTAGTTTTCTGCGAATAGGTTATTTCTTTGGTTAAGTTTATTCCTAGGTATCTTAATTCTTTTGCCATGATGGTAAATGGGATTGTTTTTTTTTTTTTTTTTAGTTTCTCTTTCTGTGAGTTCATCATTGGTGTATAAGAATGCCATCTATTTCTTGATGTTAATTTTGTATCCTGCTTCTTTGCCAAATTCATTTATTAAGTCTACTAAATTTCTGATGGAGTCTTTGGGATTTTCTCCATATAGTATCATTTCATCTGCGAATAATGACAGTTTCACTTTCTCCTTTCCAATTTAGATCCCTTTCATTTTTTCTTCATGTCTGATTGCTGTGGCTAGGACTTCCAGTACTATGTTAAATAAGAGTGACAAAAGTGGGCATCCTTGTCTAGTTCCTGTTCTTAAGGGGAATGCTTTCAGTTTCTGCCCATTGAGTATAATGTTGGCTGTAAGTCTTTTATGTATGGCCTTTATTATGTCGAGATATGATCCCTGTATTCCCAGATTACTGAGCGTTTTTATCAAAAATGGGTGCTGGATTTTGTTGAATGCTTTTTCAGCATCTATAGATATGATCATATGATTTTTATCTTACATTTTGTTTATGTGGTGTATCACACTTATTGACTTGCAAATATTGTACTAGCCTTGCATCCCTGGGATGAATCCTACTTTATCATGGTAAATAATTTTTTTGATGTATTGCTGGATTCGATTTGCTAGTATTTTGTTCAGGATTTTGGCATCTATATTCATCAGGAATATTGACCTGTAGTTTTCTTCTTTGTAGTGTCTTTTTCTGATTTTGGAATTAGGATTATGTTGGCCTAATAAAACTAGTTTGGAAGTCTTCCTTCTTCTTGAATATTTTGAAAAAGTTCAAGGGGAATGGGTATTAGTTATTATTTGAATTTTTGGTAAAATCCCCTCGTGAAGCTGTTTGGGCCTGGGCTTTGGTTGCTGGGAGAGTCTTGATTACATCTTCTATTTCTTTTGTTGTTATTAGGCTGTACAAGTTTTCTCTTTCTTCCCGATTCAGTTTTGGGAGACTATGTGTTTCTAGAAATTTGTCCATTTCCCTTAGATTGTCAAATTTGTTGCCGTATAATTGTTCATAATATTTGTTAACAGTCCTTTGTATTTCTGTGGTGTCAGTTATTATTTCTCATCTTTCATATCTGATTTTGTGGCTTTGGCTTCTCTCTCTTTGTTTCTTGGTGAGTCTAGCTAACAGTCCACCAATCTTGTTTATCA